ATATCGCGTTACCGGTTGTTGAATGTTGGTTACTGCCGACCGCTCGACTGTTCACACTCCATAAGATGTCCATATAACTGAATACGTGCAGGTATCTTGTGACTTGTATATGTATATATACATACACACAATTAAAACCGTACCGACGTCTGCTTACCCCGCTCAGGTCCCGCGACCCATACGCTGATGGCTGCCCGAATGTCCGACGTACTTTGGTAGGTTAACGATGGAATCGTGCCCGCGCACGATCACCACTGACCCGTTCGTTGAGCTTTACGTGCACCCGCGTGCACTTTAAATACCGAACAGTTAATAATGACACACACCGGAGGACTGCTCGTTGCAACTACGGACCCAAAACCACATGCCGCTAACAACCGATTCGAACATAACGAATATTATATTTTTATTAAACGGCAACATATACCGCGGCAACAACGAACAACAATATTATTATGGCCGACGCCATTCGCGTCGTACGACGAAACTTGAGATAGCTCGCGAACTGTCCAGTGCGATACGATGCACACTACTACTCCCCGAGGCGGTGGCCTTTATTGCCGGCGGCGAGAGCCGGTTTATCATGGTACGGTGGCGGGGGGTGGGGTTCTCTTCTAGAACATTCTGTGCCTTATCGGCGGAAACCCATCACAACAATAAATATTGTCGCCGCCAGAGTCGGTACCGAACATTCTCCCGCCTTTGAAAGTGACGAGCTTTCAAACTTTCTTGTACTGCAGGTCATCATAATCATGGTTTCCGATAACGCAAATTGAATACTAATTATTTAAAATGACTAATTATGAATTCTAACAATATAAAGTATACAAACAAAAATAATAATACCAAAAAACAAAAAAAATATATATAACATAATCATCATGGGAGAGGATATGGGACGTCCGAACGCACTGGTTTCCTCTTACATGGGCAACTTGGTGACCTTAACAACTGGTCGCTTGAGAAGACCGTCGGCTGTTCGAATGGTCACAACGCGAATGACATTGTCAGGACCAGGATGAACTTCCACAATACGTCCAAGTTGCCATGACATCGGTGGGTGATTGGGTGAATGGATCGCTACTAAATCCCCTATAGCCATGTTGTCGGTTTGTTTGAACCATTTTTTGCGTCCCTGCAATGTTTGCAAATATTCATGACTCCAACGACGCCAAAATGATTGTAGCGCCTGACGAATCAGTTGCCATCGTCTTAAACGGTTGATCGCAACATTAATGACATTTTCTTCGGGCAGGGCCAGGAGCGGCTGCCCAATTAAAAAATGTCCCGGAGTGAGGGCGTCTAAATCATTCGGGTCACTCGAAAGAGGTTGTAATGGCCGGGAATTTAAAACGCCTTCGATTCTTATCACCAGTGTAGACATCTCCTCGAGTGTATAAACTTGGGCTCCCACGACCTTCTTAAGATGTGTCTTGGTGCTCTTGATGGCGGCCTCCCATAGCCCACCAAAATGGGGCGCGGCCGGAGGGTTAAAGTGCCATTCACATCGAACCCGAGAAGAGACGGCCTGACGTGCATTATCCGTTTGAAGCAAGGTCTTAATCTGCTTCGCTGCACCAACATAATTCGTCCCGCAATCCGTATAAATATTGGCTGGAATTCCACGGCGTGAAGTGAAACGGTCCATTGCCGCAATAAATGATTCCGTTGATAGATCAGTCACAATTTCTAAGTGTACTGCTTTCACTGCCATACAAATGAACAAAGCCAAGTACGCTTTGTGAGTCCGGGCTCCACGCCGTCGGCTCTCCTTCACAACGAATGGACCTCCGTAGTCCATACCTACATTATGAAATGGCCGAATTGCGGTAACTCTGAAAGCAGGTAAGTCCGCCATGAAAGGTGTAGGAGTGCTGGCCCGATATTTTGAGCATGGAACACATGAATATACTGCTCGACGTACGGCAGCCCGACCTGACATAATCCAATATCGTCGACTAATCATTGACAGTACCACTCTCGCTCCACCGTGTAGCAACAATTGATGATAATGCCGAATAATTAACTCCGTGAAATGGCACCGTTGTGGCAACAATATAGGGTGTTTCGCGCCGTCGTCAAGTGCAGAATTCTTCAGGCGTCCTCCAACTCGGATCAACCCCGTATGGTCCACAAAAGGAGCCAACTGAGCTAAAGTTACGGGTACAATGTCTCGATGAGTTTTGATTTGCTTGTATAAGTCGGAATAATGCATTTGTTGGGTATATTTGATTACTCGATACAAAGCCTGATGTTGTTCCGCAAATGAAATAGGTCCTGCCGACGCAGAACGCCTTCGCGCTCGATTAATAAATCGAAGACAGTATCCAACAACACGCTGCATCCGAGATATAGAAGAAAAACGTTCTATCCAGGGAACCTCTTCCTCGTGGGTATGCAATACACATTGGAACGAATTTTTTACTTTTGGTAAATTTAATGATGCCGTAACTTCCACGGGCGGCAACACCGGCCAATGAACTTCATCCTGACGTAGAAAATCTGGTCCTGATAAGTGCTTGGAACATGACAAGAGTTCTCTCGGAAGCATGCCTCTAGAAGCCGGGTCAGCCGGATTTTCATTCGTCCTCACGTGAGCCCATTCACAGTTGGGTACCAGTGCTTGTATCTTGGCCACACGGTTGGTCACGAAGACTTTAAATTGTTTCTGTTCTCGCGTAAGCCACGCTAACACGACTGTGGAGTCAGTCCACGCCTTGACCTTGTTAATGGGTATTATGCCATTTAAAACTTCAAAATGGTGTGACAAAAGTTTGGCAAGAAGTAGAGCCGCGCACAATTCCAGCCTAGGAATTGTCAACGAAGTATCCGTTTGTGAAGATTTTAACGGTGCTATCTTGGTTTTACACGTGATAAAATAAGCATGGAAGTGACCCAAAATGTCAGCTATCCGTAAGAAAACTATGGCTGCATATCCACATTGGGATGCATCGGCAAAACCCACCATCTGCACTTCCTTTACTTGATGGATATTGATGTGACGAGGTAAAGATACGTGTGACAACAACGGTAACTCGTCCAGGAACTGACGCCACTTGTTCACCAACGAAGTAGGTAACGGAGAATCCCATCCAATCTTCTCGAGCCATAGCTCTTGCATAAATCTTTTAGCCCATAGCAAAACCGGACCTAAGGCACCAATTGGATCGTACAACCGTGCGATCGTAGATAACACAACCCTCTTGGTAATCGATCCCTCGCTGGTAGCTCCGTGATATCCAAAGGTATCGGTGGTAGGATCCCAATGTACTCCTAGCACCTTCAAAGTCACATCTTCAGTTGGGGTGAACGTTGGTTCTACAGCCTGGTCCTCGACCGGTATGCACCTCAGCACGGCATCGCAGTTACTTGCCCACTTTTTCAATTCAAGTTGACCTCGCAGTAATAAATTAATAAGATCTTTCTGTACGGCCAATAGGTCATCTACGGTATCGGCACCAGCGATTATGTCATCAACATAAGTATTATTAGTTAACAGACCCTTCGCCTGGGGAAATTTCGCACCATCTTCAAAGTCCAATTGACGCAGGCATCGCAGTGCAAGATATGGCGCTGAGTTTACACCATAAGTGACGGTTCGCAATTGATACTCCTGTACCTCATCCTCCGGCGACCTACGCCACAGGATATGTTGATAGACACAATCCTCATCGCGTACTCTGATCTGTCGATACATTTTCGCGATATCAGCTACGAACACGTACTTGTAGAATCTGCTACGAAGTAGAACATCGCTAATTTCAGTCTGTAATTTAGGCCCCGTACATAGACAATCGTTCAATGATTTTCCCGATGTAGACTTCGCCGAGGCGTCGAAGACAACTCGAATCTTAAGTCCCTTTCCCTCATGCTTAACCACAGCATGATGTGGTATAAAATATTTTCCTGGCACCGATGCCAGTTTCATATGACCTAAATTTAAATAGTCATCCATAAACTTACGATATGCTGTATACAGTTCCGAATCTTTTGCCAAACGTCGCTCGAGATTGTACAGACGATTCAATGCTAAAGCGCGCGAGGAACCTAAATCTTCCGGGCTCCCGCCTTGAACTACCGCCGTCTGACTCGTTGACATCTCTGTTAGAGCGCGCACCGTCGACTGAAACGGTAATGATACTACAAACCGTCCGGATGCGTCTCTAATAGTTGATTTCCGGAACCATGCCTCACATTGCTCATCTTCCGTTGACAAAATGTTCGACACATCTGGTTCTTCCACAGACCAAAATTTTTGTATTAATCTTCCGATTTCTGGCGTCGATACTGCTGATAATGATACCATGGGCGACGTTGAAGTTCCATTTAATGCTCCTACCACAATCCATCCAAGATGAGTATTCATAGCTGACGGCAGACCCGTACTGTGAATAACATCGGCCTTTGATTGTAACAAATGTGGATACAAGTCGCTTCCTAACAACATATCGATCGGTCCGGGTACATCGAACTCCGGATCAGCCAGCAACAGGTGGTGATACCGCTCACGCACCGCCGAAGGTATTCTATCGCTAGGTAACTGCATGGTGATATGCGTCAAAATGACGACGCAGTAGCACAAACTGCGGACCTTCCACGTGGAAGCGGAATAAATTGGCATTGAGTGACACCTTTTACTTTAGTTACTCGTTGTTGAGAGAGTCCTGTCACCTCTATTCTGCTCTTCATATGCCTTAAACCAAGACGAGTGGCACATTGTGAAGTGATCGCCGAAATTTGGGAGCCACTGTCTAAAGAACGCTTACCGTTTGTAATTTTCCCACGTTGTCCCGCATGCGCACATAGCTGTACCTAAATAACAGTGCTTCAGTACGCGCAGTTGCCCGAGAACATTGACTGATTTTCAGCCGCAGTGTCTTTTTTCCACCGACTCCGCTCCCTCTGTCGAACATTCGGCGTCTCCGTGCGATACTGACAACGTTGGCTTCGCGTAGTCTATATGTAATAATGTGCTATGTTTGCCACCACAACTCCGGCGCTTAAAACCTGACGTACACGATTTCGCTGCGTGTCCTGACTTTAAGCATTGAGCACACACTGTTACCGCTGACAAACTTCCTTCTTGCCGCGACCGATTTTTGTTTAAATGCTCCACAACGATAAAGTGGGTGATCTTGTTCACAAAATATGCACTTTACACCGCTCGAAGTCGTAGCTAGTGAATATTTCCCGGGTGCACCACCCTTGCCTTTCTTAGCCACAACCTTGAAATTTTGTTCTACTTTATCCGCAGTAGTCCCGATGTTTTCTAATATTTTACACCGTCGAGAAACAAAATCCAACAAGCTATCCAATGACGGCATTTCCGTCTGTGGTATACTGGCTTCGTATAGCCTTCTAGTTTCAACGTCAAGCACCCGCGCGCCAATGTAAAATAATAGAAATCCCGAAATATCATCGATACCTAATGCCTTGATAGCGGCGACGTTCTCGCGGAACGTATTGACAAACGTAGCGAGTGCCGCCGTGGACTCCTTCTTGAGAGGCGAGAACGCGAATAATTTATCAATGTGCGCCGTCGCTAATAGTCGATTATTTTCGAACGATCTTTGAAGAGCATTCCACGCGATATTGTAATTATTGGCCGTTAACGGAATGGACTTGATCACTGCTAACGCAGGACCTGATACGCATGATTTTAAAAAATGAAATCGCTCAATGTCCGAAATTGACTGATTGTCATGCACAAGTGAACAAAACATATCGCGAAATGAACACCATTGGACTACGTCCCCATCAAATTTTGGCAACTCAATTTTGGGCAATGAGTAGGTAAAAAAAGACAGTTCAGAATCCTCGCCCTTGCTCGCCCTGCTCGCCCTTGCTCGCCCTGCTCGCCCTTGCTCGCCCTGCTCGCCCTCCACCGCCACCGCCGCCCTTGCTCGCCCTCCTCGCCATTGCTCGCCCTCCACCGCCACCGCCCGATCGCGCACGTACGCGACGTACATTTTACCCCTCCCCCACCCACCGCTTACGTTCGTGACGTATATTTTACCCCACCCCACCTCACCCACCCCACCTCACCACCCAAACCCGCCGCCCATTGCTCATCCTTGTCATCACCGCCGCCCGATCGCGCACGTGCGCGACGTATATTTTACCCCGCCCCGTCCTTGCTCCCCTACCCCTTTGTATATTTTAAGCCTTGACCACCTGCACCTGTTACGGACCCGCCGCCCGATCGCACACGTGCGCGACGTATATTTTACCCCGCCCCGTCATCGTATAGCGCATGCGTACAACATATTTTCGCGCATGCGCATATATTATGTATGCATCGAACGACCGTTTTGTATATATTATCTAAATTTTTCAAAAATAAATATTGAAAAAAGGCCACAGGTTGGCGCATGGTCCGTGCTCGGATGCGGTCAACAACAGATCAGAGTGTCCCGACATACCCTAGTTATTGTTAACAATGACATTCTTCAACAAGGGTTGTGACTATACCCTTCGTTTTGTATTCATGTAATATCTTAGAACATTGACGGCATGCGACAAGGTTTTATGAGACCCGAGTCATGTTTATTACTTTTATTATAACTGTACTCGACACTCGTAATTCGTAAACTCTTTTGAGGGGGGTGGACCCTAAAACGTTCACGCCACCACTGGTGACCTAGAAACTCAGTCGTGTTTTTAACGTTGTACCCTTCATTTGTGATATTTATTCCTTTAGATTACTTTTATTTTAATTTTTTTATATTAACTAAATAATTCTCGAAGACGACATCTCACCTAACGAACGAATTTTGCAAAATGCGTAAGTGTTAATAATTTTAAATTATTTTGATATATATTTATATATACATATTTTTTTTATTCAGTGAGATAATTGAGCCGCCGGTCGTTCGGTCAGCTAACCCTGACACTATAATTTACTTAAGACGGTTGTACCATGAACATTCTCTTATCCAAAATTCAGGCGAGAGGGCTAGGATATGGTCAGCACATGCGAGATCGCTTTCTCGACGGTGTAATATAGAATTGAGAGTTTTGTGGATGTTGATGAGTGAAAGTCATTATGATCGATCGATTCCTGAAGATGAGGTTATAGTAAGTTTAAACATACGAATATTCAAATATTGTAGATAATATGATTAGATTTACTAATATCAGATAATTTATTATAGATTCAACTATCGTTTCGTGAGTTATTAAACTCATCTAGTACGATCAGGAGGCATACACAGTACTATATCATCATGCAGTTACTATATGGACTCAGGCGAATTGCGATTTTCGATTCCGAACGCATTAGGGAAAAATTAGAAATGGATTGGACGTTAAATGTCCTAACCATTCTTACCTACTTAGATTTCGACTTCGACACTTCTCGTTTTATACTACATAGAATAAGAAACCTGAACTAAAAATGAACTAATAAATAATATTTTCCTTATACCATACATCAGTTTATATTATTCAGAAAAAACTATATGCTCACTATCTTTACTCACATAATATCTATTTTCACCTACCATCGTAAAAAAAAAAAAAAAAAAAAAAAAAAAAAAAAAAAAAAAAAAAAAAAAACTACCTAGTTCAACAAACAATATGTTTGAGATCAACGGGCGGTCGGTACCGACTGGTCGATCACTGTGTATCCAGTCTTTTGTCCGGTGTACACACATTTTGCGTTTACAGTCAACAGATATTCATATACGGATTTATCTACTTATATGAGATTTTTATTTATCATAGTAGGTATTTATAATTTTTATATTTCGTTTGTGATAATCATTACCGGTAAAAATGTGAGTATCTTGTTTTATATTATTCGTAAGATATTTTAAGAATTACATATAATCCGATTTTTAGATGTCAAATAATTCATCACCGAGTACTCCGGTATATGGAGGAGAGGAGTATAATCGACGTCTGCCCGAAATACATAGCCAGTCTCCAGTCTCCAGTCCCCAGTCTCCAGTTCTCATCAACATGCATGAGCATGACTTTTTCGTATTTGGTGAAATGGTAAGTTTTTTTGTTTTAAAAATAAAATATAAAATAAATTATTATTATTATTTTAAATATTTTGTTAGATGGTTATGTTAGCGGCAATTTTAAAAGTAACATTTAGTTCATATTTTTGTAAGGGTTCATCGAGTAAGGGTTGTGTATAGAAATATACACCATTGTGTTAGGCACGTATTGATAGTAAACGTTCTATTGTCGGTGGAACGACCTGTTTCGTCCGGTCTGTTCGCTTTTCTTGGTATGACAGTAACTATTTTTGTCAAGGTGACCTAAAGGGGTATCTATTGTAAGCTGATGGGACGAAAATCTATTGTTAGATGTTGAGTCGCAACATACAAGTGTATATCGTGTTACAGTCGTATGACCTACATAATATTTTTCGTATAGTTAGACTGGTCAACTGTAATTTATTTACTCCCCCTGTCAAGGGTGAAAGAATCTTTTGTAATACCTCAGTGCAGACCAAGGATGATACGGTCATTCGATTACATTTCTCCCCTTCACGTATTGATAGTAAACGTTCTATTGTCGGTGGAACGACCTGTTTCGTCCGGTCTGTTCGCTTTTCTTGGTATGACAGTAACTATTTTTGTCAAGGTGACCTAAAGGGGTATCTATTGTAAGCTGATGGGACGAAAATCTATTGTTAGATGTTGAGTCGCAACATACAAGTGTATATCGTGTTACAGTCGTATGACCTACATAATATTTTTCGTATAGTTAGACTGGTCAACTGTAATTTATTTACTCCCCCTGTCAAGGGTGAAAGAATCTTTTGTAATACCTCAGTGCAGACCAAGGATGATACGGTCATTCGATTACATTTCTCCCCTTCACGTATTGATAGTAAACGTTCTATTGTAGGCGGAACGACCTGTTTTTACTGATAAACGATGGTTCCTAAAATAATTGGTAATAACTAGTGATTTATACATTTATCATAGTAAATACCCGATTAATATTTTGCTAACCCACGGCTTGAAATGCTACCCTCACCAAAAATGTCGAGATTTCTGGACACTCGCTCCGTTGTCCGCCAAGACATAGTCAGTCTGTTCCAGACACCCATACCTTTACGCGCACTTTGCCTTTACTCTCTCCGTGTTTTCACAGTCCTTACTCAACAGTTTTTACAATTTTTTCAAGTGTTTAATTTTTGCAAGTGTTTTAAACACTATATTATTTTTCATCTCGTTTTTATTTCAAACATTTTAATCATGTTTAAATGCGAACAGTGTCCGTCGGTTTTCACCGCAAAACGTAATTTGGTCAGACATGGCAAAACTCATGCGGGCATACGTTTCCCATGCACTGTATGCGATAAATTGTTCAACGATAAGTCGCATCTTAAAAGGCATATGAAGAACATTCATGGTATGTATAGAAATTGTATACGTTTTATGTAATCTTATACAATATTAATTTATATTATTTTTCCTAAGGTATCGTAAACGTTCCAGCTCACTTGAGGCCTATACCTGCTGCCCCGATCACCACTCAACCAGCTCCAGCTCAACAGGCCCAGATTGCGCCGCAAATATTTGTACCTGATGCCCCGGCCGGTGGCTCCAACATGTTAACCGAAGACGAAATATGTATGAAAGCAATGGATGAATTTGAGGATACAGGTTAGTTTTATTTATAAGAATTAGATTTTTAAAAGACCCGCTGATTTTAACGGATCATTTTTAAAGATTATTGCTCGACCAATTAGATTTTAAAAATAATTGTCGTTAAATAGATTTTTAAAATTCAACAAATTATCGTACAACACATTTTAAATATAAATTATATATTTTTTATTTTAAACTTATCAAGTGGTCTGTGAAGCGATCAATGGTATAATAGTTGGAGTATTCCGACATTATATCGATCAATTCACACGTCGCATCCTATGGGGTAATAGTTGGAGTATTCCGGCATTGCACCGGTTGTCAGATCGTTTGGTAGATTTAATTTTTTCATCGCGTGATTTTATTATATGTCAACATTTGTTATATCAGTAGATTTTTTAAGATTCGTGAGGATAATTAGATTTTTATTAGATTAGTCAATTTATTATTTTCATTAGATATTAATATTAGGTTTTTTTTAAAGATTCTTACACCGTTACCGTCAACGGGAAACGTGTTTCGACTGCCAACACCACCTCAGCTGCTAGGGCAAAAAAGACGCGTATGGATATGGTGAAGGTCCCCGGGTTCGTAGAAATTTTGTCGTCTGCGAGCCGTAAAATCGTGTGGTACTATGCAAAAAATATCTGCAATACAACGATTTATTCCGACTTTCTTCGACCCCTCATGCCCGAGATTGAAAATTTATT